TGGAATTGAGTGAACTGGAGATGGTGGTAGTGTGGGTGTGGGGGCATTATAGGGGCTGATAAATGAAAGCAGGGAGAAACAAAGGCGGTGGAGGTGGGAGTCAAATCAAGGACATGTTCAGGTTTACTTGAACTCTGCTTGGGGTCGAGAGGAGGGCATGCTTCGTTGATTCATGTGGCAGATTACAGATGATAAAAGGAGAAGGAGAGAGGAAGGGAGGCAAAGAGATGCAGACAGAAAACAGAAGGTGAACACTGTGTATGAAGGGGGTAAAACGAAACAATAAAAAAATAAAGTTTATAGCTATGAATAACAGACATCTTGGCTATTAAGAGTCTTGCTATCAAGACACTTGACAGCGCCATTTTAACAATTTTCCAGTGTTGAGCTGGTAGTTGAATCCTTTCTTCCATAATCACACATTGATTACTAAACCACAACTATGATTCAAAATAGGTAAAAGACATTTATGTATGGGTTCAGGATACTAAATTTACCAAACCCTGTTCATCTTCATTCTTTTTCATCCTTTGGCTTAGAGGCGAGTTAAAAGTAATGATGTCTCACATCTTGAAATACCGCTGTGTTCATTAGTAAAGTTTATCGAGTTTATTGAGTGTGTGCAATTTCACCGAGGCCCCTGTGGATATAGTAATCACTGCTGCAGCGCAGACTGACAAGAGGAACACAGCAAATATGACTCCAAACAATAAACTTGAGCTGAATTGAAAGCACAAAGTCAGACGAACACAATAAAGAAGCTGTTTAAAATGTTTTGTGCCATAGCGCAGGGGGTCAGATTTTTGCATCGCGCTCTGGGTAAATATGTGCCATAACTCACATGGGGTAGCAGCGCTGGTGTTTAAGCGTTCATGTGTATAATTATTTTCGAGTATGTCTCCATTTTCTCTGTTTCGCTTCAAATCAATTTTTATGGCAGCTGAGTTTTATGGCACTCATCAGGGTGGCTCAGAGACGGCCTGCTTCTGCTTCAGGGGGAACACGCTGTCGAAATGAGAGTTATAAATATGAACGCTTTTCCTCTGCCTTCTGGCGGGATTCTGAGTGGATTTTATGTTTGTTCTGTGTGCATGGGTACGTGTGTGTGTGTGTGTGTACATGTGTGTTTGTAGTATAGGTGGAGGAAGCTGATGTTTCCTCAAAGTGACCCTTGACCTAAACCCTTATCATCCTTCCTTGGGTGACTCTTTCATCGTTATGGCAACCAGGGTTGTAATGCTACTTTTGCAGATTGTAAATTCTATAAAGCGGCCTATAAAATGTATTTAGGTCACTTAAATCTGATGAAAGAGATTATGATAGCTAAACGAATAAGAGAATTCAGGACTCTGAATAGTTGAGGTGTACAGATCATATCTACTATAAACTTTGGAGCTGACATTATTACTAGAGAATGTGTTTTCTGGGAAGACTAAATTTAACAAATAAAAACCAAGAAATGATAAATACTGCATATTGTGACAATAAATAGTAATGAAATGAAATGACACTAAATGTGACATGAATGTATGTGTTTGTTGTTCACGTATTAATGAAAATCATTATTTACTTGTTTCAATTACACTGAAAATGACACGTCGCATTTGACTTGAAATTGAACTTGTCACTTTTACTCATCAAAGCACAGGGGGGTGGAGTGATTAGTTGAGTTTTTTCTGGGAGTCCTGCCTCTGGTGGCTGACATCTAGACCAAACCACCCCCCCTTTCCCCACCCCTAAATGCACGGTCAATTTGTTCCCTCGTTATTTCTTCATCAGCATCCATTTCATTTCATAAGCGATTTTCATATTCACTGTTTCAAAAATGCCAGGTTACATGTTTACCTCTAGAGCAACCATGTTTAATTAATAATGTTCAATCAAATCTACAACAACATTCAAAATCAACCCCCAACCCAGTCCTCAAAATTGTAATAGATGAAAGATCCAGTTTCAATTTCAATGTACGTATTTTCAAAGTATGTCCTTTATTAATAATTAATTAGTCAATCATTATGAATCCTTATTGCAATTTTATATCGGCCACATCCAGTTTCACAAAAACAGAAAGAGAGAGAGAGAGAGAGAGAGAGAGAGAGAGAGAGAGAGAGAGAGAGAAATGTATGTTTGTTTTAGTGTCCTTGTGTGGACTTTCCACTGAAATAATTATTAATGCTTCTAATTAATGCTATGACTAGACCTAAATCATAACCTTAATCTCTGTAACCATAAAGAAACCTTTAGGCTCTTTTAAGTTTATAAATAAAATAAAGATGATACTTGTGAAAAATAAATAAATAAATAAATAAACCTCTGGGGTCAAAAGTCCCCATAAGATAGACATAAAAACACACCCACACACAAAACATATATATATATATATATATATATATATATATATATATATATATATATATATATATATATATATATATATATATATATATATATATATATATATATATATATATATATATATATATATAAAATCATTATTGCATTTAAAAATATATATTTTAGTATTATATTTACATTTTGCATTTATTTAGTTTTGCATTTATTTATTTGTTTGTTTGATTGTTAATCATTCAAATTCAAATTGTATTTGTCTAACACACACCCAATCATACACCCATACATACAACAATGCTTATTATGACTGTCTGTGACCTAAATATAGAATTTACATAACCAGAATTTATGCTTATACAGGTAGAAAAGGAAAAATATAAAAATATAGTTTAAGGGATATAAAAGATAGGAGGCAGCAACTGTATGACTATATTGTATGTGATGTACAGTGCAGATATGTGCAGTTTATGTGCAAAACAATGGCTGAGGTAGTCAGTTATTGTTATTTATTTATTATTATTTAGTTAGTTAGTTATTCAGTACAAAAAAAATTATTTAGTCCAAAATTGTCTTCCATTTGGCTTCCCCTTCATTGGGCCTCCCATTATCCCTCTCCTGAGTGTCAGAACCCTCTCCATTGGCTGTGATAAGACCAAGCACGAGTGTCAGCCTGATGCATGGCAGGATTAACACTGTACAAACACACCAGGCTACACTTTAAAGGGGACTGAGGAGAGGGCACAGGCCGGCTCTCTTCAAAGCTGAAGCGACCCATTCTGCATGAAGGGTTTGGAGGAATTAATGAGGGTAAATATTAACACCTGCCCTTGTGTAAATATTAGCCCATGTCTCTTAGATACATGCAGCAGTGCAAGCTTTCTGCTGAGCCTTGAAGCCACTGAAGTGGATAAAGGGAGGTGGATATCCTCCTTCCGTTAAACTGTTCAAAGAGTAAATGCAGCTCTCCATATATCTATCCATCTTTAATGACATTGCTGAGACAATATAATGATCTGTTTCCATTGGAGGGGACGCAAAGCAGTTGTACATTGAGTTTAAATGCAAAGCGGATCCTCGGAGCGCAGCTGCACTTCCATCTAACCTGGCAGATGGCAGTGTCACAAACTATGGCTTTCCCCACTCAGTTCAACATTGAAAATCTCCCAGCCAATGAGTACATTTTCAAGGGCAGGCCATAGTTTAAAAAGGTCATACGATTACAAAAAACAAAATGCTTTCAAACACGAAACTGAAATTTCCCTGGCTTTAGAATAATTACTTTCTGCATTCTGTCTGAAGAGCACCACCTCACTGATTCCTCAATCAATCGTGTGTGATACCATAACTCTCATAGCTGCCATATCCCTGTGCCATCTGCTGTACGCATATGGTACTGCAGTTTCTTCTGCGAGGTCACTTTCCATCCTGACTCTTGTCTAAGGACAAGTTTCCATAGAAATGGTCTCCATGACTCCATGGCTCCTTCATGAAATTTTGTATCAGTATTCTGTAATTTGTTCCAGAGCTTCACAGTGAATTGAGCGGTGTGCAAATGTGCAAATTGCAGATGATGGCATCACAGCTCAGCAACATGCTGATGACGTACTCAGCCCTGTCTGCCTGTTAAAGAATTCACTTAAAGACTTTTGCAATCAGCACAGGTCTCAGTCATTTATTGCACGTTCAAGATGTAGGAAGATTAATATCCAATTTTTACCACATACTCCTTAACTGTGGCTGGCTCGTGTTCAAGGGTTTTCATATTCTCTCTGACTGTTACAGCCAAAAAAACAAGTAAAGGTATATTTACACAAAAAGTATTACTGTTATATTTCTCTGATTTTTCTCATAAACAAAATGTCTTGTTCTGTGTCTCTTTAAGGTGACTTCAAGACTTGCATACAGGAGCACATCATCTGAGATTTCAGCTGTCACTGAAGAGCCAAGTCTGTAATTAAGCCTCCATTCAGGAAATACATAAATAACCAACAGATAGAGAACGCACTGAAACCAATTTTCCTCCAAAAGACATAACGATGATTAATAGAGACATTAATTCAGGTGGAGTTTTGTCCCAAAACCTTACTCATCTTTCCTCATAATAATGGATAATTACAATATATGGGTATTGTCAGAGACTGATTGCACATTAAACCTTCCATGCTGAAAATGAAACGTTGGGGGGGAAGCAAGCAACGCTCATAGATAAGGATTCACCCTGTTCATTGCACATGGTCATCAAGTCAGAGGACATCTGAAAAAGATGCAGAGGCAGGATGTGGTTTGATTCTTTTCAATTAAAAATGCCACACTTAGTATTAAATTTAGGTGTGAGTAACATTGCAGATAATAATGTTATGATCAGAAGATCCAGGGATTGGAATATGACAAGAGTATGTGTGTAAGAAAATAAAGTACCAGTGCCACTGACCTTTTCCACTGCATCTGGATCTGCCTTTATAAGGGTAACTTAACCACTCAATGTTATATGTACCCCTAAGAGGCTTATCTCTGACCCTCTCCTGCCTTTTCTGGCTTAGAAGAGGCATTAATATATGGAAAGAGAAGAGTTCACCTGGAGCAATACAATGTCCATTCTAACGTCCATTCAATGTCCATTCGACTCCTGGATGCTCTGGCTCTCTGAGGGCAGTGGTAGCTCAGCGGTTAAACATTGGACTAGCGCTTGGACGACCATGAGTTCAAATCCCAGCACTGCCAAGCCGGCGCTCTTGGGCCCCTGAGAAAGGCCCTTAACCCTCAACTGCTCAGTTGTATAAATGAGATAAATGTAAGTCACTCTGGATAAAGGCTGCCAAATTCCATAAATTTAAAATTACTCCTGAATTGAGCCAATAAGTTTTAGATGGAAAAAAAAAAAAAAGATTTATCTAGCACTTTGAAAAGTTCTTCAGTTTGTCCCACTGAGCGAACCGTTCTATTGTGAGAAACAGATCCAAGTAGAACCACTTTAGGATGTACAGAACCCCTGAGATACCATTTGTAAGTGTTTACTGATTAAATTTACAAACTGAATTTATGACGTCCATTATATCGTGATGTTTAATGGATAAACAGCTTGCAAAAAATATACAATCTGTCCAGAGACTGGAGTGTTTTAAAGATGCATTCTGGAAGTTCTCCACAGGATAGCACTGTAGGCTCAATTTTGATATGAATTAGTTCAGTCCTAACCCCCACCGCCATGTTCTCTCTGTCTCCGCCTCTACTTCCTTCGTCCTTTCCTTCGATGACTCCTCCTCCTCTGCATGTGAATATTCATATCTCAGTGTAAACTCCCCCATGCAGGTAATTAGATGATCCAACCCTTGCTCTCTAGCTTGACCACATTACATCTTGTTGGTTGGTTCAGAGTAGCTTTGGATATATATGCATGCATGTGTGTAGGTGCACACAGAGTAATGATTAATAAATCATTTGGACTGCTGTTTCGATTGTGTATCACGATTAATAAATCATTTGGACTGCTGTTTCCATGGTGTATCATGAAGACTACCCTGATGCAGCTAAAGGTTGTGTGAAAATCTCCAGTACCTGCTTGCAAACCTTACGTCATAGTTTTCACAGTTAAGGAACCACTTTGGCCTCTGAAAAGTGAACATTCTAACGATAATCCCTGTGCCTGTAAAACAGATCAGTAGCTGGGCTTCTGTATATCTTTGTTTCTGTGTGGGATTTGTTGTAGTTATTGATGTCCGTGTCTAGTCATTTAGAACGGTTTATCAGCCTAGCACTCACAGAGCACTCATGAGACACAAGCAATGGAGAACCCTTTCCAGATAAGAGTGAGAGGCAGAGAAAGAGCGATTGCTTCCTGTTCCTACGTCTCTCCATAGAGCTACGAGCCGGTTTTCCGGACCCCAAATCACACCTAGTTTTGGACTAGGAGGAAATTTCTGCAGAGAATGACCAGTGACAGTGTGATTCATTCTAGGAAAAGGCTTAATTTGTGTCCGGAAGACCTGTCCCTGAAGTGAGGGATTGTTCCTGGTCTACATTTAGAAAAGCCAGCACAGTGACAAATTTTGTTATCGTTTTCATATCACTCAAATGGTTCAGTCAAGTAGGTTGAACTTTGGCCTTACAGTAATCCTTAACTTTTTTTTTTTGCAGTGTTGGAAATGTAATGGATCAGCATGTCTTTATAGAAAATGTACTTTTAAAAATAGATGTTCTTGTTCTTTTATGTCTTATATGTTTGGTAAGTATAGCTCTGTGGGCACTTTTTGACAAAGTTGATAAAGAAAGGATCGTTTGGTTCAGTTCATTTCAAATCAGTGTATCATTTATCCAATAACATGACTGGAAATCAAGTTAAATAAACATTATTTTAATTCAATTTGATTCAACCATAAAGGTACACTAATAAAAAAGAGTCCAATTTCTATCCAGTCCAACTTGCAAAAATTAAGCTGATATTAATGATTGCACTAAACACTTGATGCTGTGGCATTCGACCCAAACGCACAGTACTTACGCCACAGCATCCGTCAGCTGTGAGTGACGTCCAGAAAGTGACAGAGTGTCTTTATTTATCTCCTGTCTGAGGCAGCAGCCTGATGTCACATTGCTCATCCGTTAGCAGCTCAACAGCCTCTTAAACTTAATTTGGCTTGATTTGTGTTGTTTGCAAGTCAAGCCTCTGCATTGATTGCAGTGTCATAGGATAACTCTCATGTGCTGATGGTGTTCCTTTCACAGTGTGTGTAGGGCAATTGCTAAGCATATATCTGTGCATGTGTGTTGCAAGACGAATGGAGGACTGTTTAATCTGCTGCAGATGTGTGAATATGTTCCAAATTTCAGAATACTTGGACAATTCAGAATACTCCTAACGTTGTCTACTTTAATGTTGGGTGTAGAGAGATAACAACATGTTCATTTGTTTCTAAAGTTTGACCTGTGACCTTAGATCACCTCATCATTTACCATCCTGACAAGAGAGAGAGTGAGACATAGCACAGAGAATGACCACTTCAAATGCTTAGTCATTATCGGCTTAAAATTTGTTCCCTAAATTACTATTGTTTAAGAGACATGCTTAAATTTAGAAAATTGCCCCAACCAGCAGAATTAGGTCTTCTGGACTCATGAAATCTGTATGAAAAAGAGGATTGGATTTTTTTGTGCCATTTTGATCTCAAACTGCACAAAAAAAAGAGGAAAAACTAACAGTTTGTTTGCTAACTGTAGCAGAGTTAACATTATATTTGCTCTAAAAAGAAACAAAAACATTTTTCCTTTGTAAAAGCTCACATTTTAGCTCATCATCTTTGCTCCTCTGTATATCTACATTTACATACACATTGAAAATGAACAAAATGACCAGTGTTCATAGTTTTGTTCATTTAACAATGCTAGTAAAGCGGATATCGCTCTTCCAAAACAAAACTAGCATAATATTAGCTTCTTAGCTACAATAACAAAACAACTACCTAAATATCATACCAAAAAGAATTTAAATTTCAAATAGTGCTACATCTTGCTGGTTAAAGTTAGCAGATAACATAGAAAATACACAAAACCCTAGCCCCAAATGCTTTTTATCATTATTTTCACACAATAATTGGAATGAAAACAACTAAAACAAACAAACAAACAACCAAAAACACTCACTAAACAAATGCATACTTGTGCATTGTTGTTTGTTACAGAAATTACCCCTGCAGTAAGGGGACTAATATTATGTTAAGACATCAGCTTCAGCCATAAAAATACACACCAACGAATTCAGGCAATGAAACAGTATACAGTGAGCAGTGCTGTACATTTGGAAATGTCTTCTCCAGTGTTAATGTGCTGTAACTTACTGAACAGTCTTTTATCTGTGGACAGTACATCTCTGATAGTCCATGCCAAAATCAAATGAGTGGACAAACATGTGTGTTCATATTTCCAAACTGCCACATCATTGGATTTGTGAATGTGTGAGCCTGTTTGCGTGTGCTTCTATCAATGCCAGCCTGTGTATGTGGGTGAGATTTATTCAGCTTGTCCAGTGCTCCTTCATTATTGTGGAGCTTTTCAAGAGTGGGGGATCTCCAAAAAATTTATGACAGACACCTTTATTGGCCCCTATAAAAAAAAAAAAAAAAGAGGGGCGAAGATGGATCATCTCTCTCTTTTCCCTTGTGCGTCTGTCCTACGGGCCTGGCACGGCCCATTAAAAAGGGATCTCTGCTTTACAGCGTTTTAAATGGGCACATGTCTGGTCACCACTGGCACTCAGATGTAAGGACAGTTTTAGGACCCAGAGCATTATCGTTCTCGGCTAAATGGAAGGTCTGCTGTTTCTGGTGTCTGAGTTTACAGTGATGTGCATTTTTTAATTGTGACACTAAATAACAGCCATGTATTATTTAATAGGCTCTTATTGGTGTATTTAATTGGCAGGCATGAAGGTTCCCTGGTCATTAAAAAGCACAAGAATAGCCTGCTTGTTAGCTGCTTTTGTGTGTGTGTGTGTGTGTGTGTGTGTGTATATACCATTAAGACAGAATCTGCCTGTCATTTAATATTGACTATATAAGCAAGTCAAACAGCTGTACTACTAAAATGTCTGCTAACAAATTACTGACATTTAACATGAGTGTTTCAACGATGCTAACCATTTTTCACAAATCCAGATGTGTATTCTGAGATTGTTCTGATGAATTACGATTATTTGTGTTGTTTGCCACATCAACAATTACTCCCGATAGTACTTAATTACATTGATTATGATATCAATCAACATAGTGATTATTATTTTTTTTCACCAGAAAATCTGCATCCTTCTTCAATTATATACTGTTTCTTCAGCCTCTGAAATAAATAAATAGACTAATCATGGAAATGGTGTGCTTAATGTGTGGGTTTTTTATGACATATAATTGTTATGTATTAGCACATTCTTTTGGCTTACTTGATGATCTAGGGTCAGCTCTTCTGGTTTCATCTCATCTCTTGTGGTTTTTGTGAAGATAGGAGGAGTATTAATCAACCTGAGATACGGGGAATGAGAAATTCAATTCTACATTAACTCTAATGACCACCAGAAATTTGGAAATGGTTAAAGACTGTCTGATGAAGAATGACCTGGAGTTGGCTTCAGGATTCATTTATAGTATGATGTTCAGCCAGTTTGTAATGCAAGCATTCTTCCTCTCACACATACACACATAGAGAAACACATGGTTTTTTGTTTTGTTTTGGTTTTTTTTTTTCATATGCATGCATACCTGGACATCCAGAAATCCTATTAATAGGCACACAAAAAGATTAGATAACGCACCCACCCCCACACACACTAGCACATCTGTCAGCGAGTTCTGCGCATGCACACCTAGGCCTAATTAAACTGCATGTGTCGTGTGATCTGTGTGCGTGTGGGCACTGCTGTCAGCATCTGAGCCAGTGATTTACATAAGAGCACTCAGGGGACTAAATGCATCGTCCCTAATTGAGACTCAAGTCAATCAGCGACCTTGCTAGTGGCTGAGCAAAGCTTCAGTGCACACTCAGACTAAAACTGAAAGCCATAATGGCTTTTTTAAACTGAAACAAAACAAACACTGGTATGTTGTTGTTTTTTTATTACACATTACCTTTTCCAGAGCCTCTTTTAATTCAGTGATCTTAACATGATTAGAAAAACAAAAGCAAAACAAAATAAAAAGACAAACCCTAAGTATCTACAGATGGTAGCAATTTAAAGCAGT